TACAGTATGATTTATTTATAAAATATAGGAACATTTAGAAAATGAAAAGTGCATTTTCAGTACAAAATGCTTCATATTAACACTCTTCAAAAATTCAGTTCTGTGGATAAAAGTAAATAGACTAGAATAAAATAGAATAATAATAAATAAATAAATATTAAAAAGCCTCTATTTGACCTGAAATTATCTTTAGAGTAATTTCTGAAAAGAATTTATTTTGCCCTTTATTGTGGACACCATTCCTTTTTTAACACAGCAAAGCAAAAAATAACGGCCAGTCACGTAGGCTCATCTCACCCCAGCCTCCCAAAATTTCCAAATCGAATCCGATTCAAAACATTCACTCAATCAATCCACAACAAAACTGAGACTCCCAACGAGGCGCGGATGTGAAAACTTGAGTTCACCCTATCGTATTGTTTTCTCGGAGCGAAGCCGCAAGGAGCAGCGGAGCCAAACGAAGCGGCAGCTGCTGCCAAGGAGGGGTTTGCTCCTGTTCCCACTCCCTCCCTCCTTCCCTCCCTCTCCCTGCTCCACCCGGGCCTCCCCACGCTGCGCATCCGCCTCGCCGCCTTCTCAGCCTCTGCCCAAAAATTTCAGCTCGCTAACGAGCAAGAAGGAGCCCAGTTAGCACCCAGGAAGTCCAGCGTGGGGTCAGGAGCTGGTGGGAGACGTAGGTCCTTGCTGTGGTGGTGGCAAGTTATTAGATCAGCCCAAGGGTACCCAGGGAGGTCCACTTTTACTCAGAAAGGAAAAAAATCCAGCTCAATACAATTTCAACGCTTGCTGTCACTTCATGGTGTTTACCACGTCCTAAGCACCGCACTAGGTGAAGTGTTTTTCAGACAAATACAATATCTTTCAATTGAAATCCTGACTCATCTACATCAAAGGTTACTATCATCGTAGATTTATCTGGAGAAAAACAATAAGAATTGAAAGCAAACTATATTTAATTAGTAAATTAGTTGGTAAAGCTGTATCAGGTGACTATGATTCTATGATTCTATGATCACAGGCTTTACACACCACAGCTTAAGGTGTGTACAAACACCAATATATTATTATTGCCATTTATATTACAAAAGCAGGAAACAAATATATATTTTATGAATAATATCTATTTCTATACATATATGAAAATATAAAGATGTAAAAGTAATTAAATCTCACACAAAACTTTTATATTTACTATGTATATTTTAAGGGCCTCTATATAATACTGATGTTCCATTAAAAGTCCTAATTTTCTTTGACTTAACTATCTTAAGGAACCAAAAATATTAACATGACTAAAAATTCCTTAGAATTTACATAAATGATCATATTTCTGTGAATATGAAATCAACTAAAACCAAACAGTTTTTATATCCTAAAAAGGTAAGCCATGTAAGGACACCTTGTTATCATCGATATGAACCCTAATGCCAGCTGGGATACTTTATGGGACGGCACAATTTCTGATGGAAAGATGGTACCAGGTGACCCAAGAACTCAAAAAAGTTGCATCCTCCTGTCCTTCCTCCCCAGCCCCAGGACAGACTGACAGTGCCTGGGAGCGAACAGATCAAAGCTGAAACAAGCACTTACTCGGACACCTGAAGAAAGAATCTATCCTAATTGGATACTTGAGTGTGTCTACAAATCTAAGAGATGCAGCAGTTACTTCATGGATGTTTTATTCTATAATTAGGCTGTGAAATAAAGAAAAAGAAAAAAAAAAACAAGATAAATGAAGTCTGCATTAAAAAGGCATCCAGGTCTTTTAATATTACATATTTGTCCTGCAATTATGTGTACCATAATGTTTATAATGAACAAAATCAAGGAATTCATGTTAAAAACTGAGATGTCAAAATAAATTCTCCAGACTTTGACCTCTTTGAGCATTTTCAACAACACATGCATTTCTACTTCATATGTGTAAGGCATATTCTTTCAGTATTTGCACACTCCCCACCTAAATCAAATATTTCTCCTTTTGTTTCAAGGAGAGTGCACTACAAACCAGAAGTTTTAACCGAAAATCAGAACCCAGACCAAACTCAACTGCCTGGCTTACGGCCAGCCTACAAGCTTTGATGGTGGTGAGGATGAAGAGCTTAATCCACCGCTCAGCTACAAAGTTTTAACTCGAATTGATGTTGGGTTGTAACTTTGAAATAGTCATCGATTTTTCAGAAGAAGAAAAACTCAAGCTAAACCACAACCGGCAAGATCTTTGGCAGGCAGAGACCTCTGCTTCCTAAGCCTCCCACAAGTGCCCACCGCATCCAGGGAGCCACCGCAGAAATTTCACTGACAAAAATGGAAGATTAGAGAAACCATGCAAGCCAACAAGCAGCAAGGTCCCAGCACGGTGGCAGGGCGAAGCATTCCATAACCATCCCCTGCAGACATCTGCCAATCTGCTGTTCGAAAACCTTCAAGAAAAGAGCTTTCACACCAACATTAGGTGCCCGGTAAGAGTATTTCCCATCTTAACATCCAACAAAAACATCTTTTCTTGCAAATAAAGCTAATTCCTTCCTTCCCAAAGGAAATATCAAGAACAACTGATAAAAAATTTTTGTTGTAGCAATCTTTTAGGTATTAGAAGGGAGAGTTCTGTTCTTGGACTTCTTTTATTCTAGACTGGGAATACTCAGTTCCCTTATTGTTTTTTCTTATATGCAATGTTATCTATTGTTTCCACTTGGGGCAATTTGCCCACCTGTTTCTTAAAACATGTTGCCCAAAATCATTGACACTTGATAGAGTAATTACTTTCACATTTAATATAAAAAAATCCTGTTAACTCTTACATAAGTTCTGCTTTTTGAAATTGTATCAGATTGCTCATCTCTGTGCAACCAGATGCTTTTTTTCCTCACTGCACCTTGCAAGGTGTGGCAACAGCTTGTTTTCATGCACTTCCATTTTCCCTCAAGCTCAGTGTTTCACTGCTGCTTTTGGGTCACCTGCACAATCTGCCTGATTATTCTGACTTCTGAGCACATCCACCCGCTTGCGAGCACTGCCTGTCCGCGCAGGACCACCTACAGACCTCCAACTTGCTTTGTATTCCATCAAACTCATTAATGGATGTTCTGATCCAGGACCACAACATAACCTCAGAAACTGCACTGGAAAAGTCTTTTCAGATTCCACCGCCCTCCCTCCAATTTTCTATTAACAGTGTCTTTGCCATATTTCCTTAGCACATATTCAACAGTTCACTTAAAGTCATACTGCCCAATACACGATGGCAGAATTAGTGTCACAGCTCCGCTGCAGTTCTGTGCCTGTATCACTAAACAATACGTTGCTCCTCAGCATAGGAGTGTAAATCCCTGTCTCCAAAAGCAGAAACTACACCAGCCTAAATTGTCCATGACCTCATTCTTAAAACATAAATGCATCTGCCTTTGCTCTCCCCAACAATGCCAGCTTTCACTGCGTATTAGCCCAGGTCTCCCACAAACACCTTCGGCACTGTTACCTCACTCCTTAGCCAAGGGAAAAACTCCTAAAAATATTTCCATCAAGCTATTACTATACCCTCCTAACCTCTCCCTGTGATTCACAGTTCATGATGCTAACACAACAGCTTGCTGCTCAAGAGCGGTGGTGAGCTGAGCTGCACACATGCCCAGTTCACCCAACGCACGCTCACCACCTCATTCTACCCACACTTTGGTGTTTTCCTGTTCCTGTTGCGCCTTTAGCTCATCTAAGCCGTCAGAGCTTGCAGACGTTGCTAGGGAGGAAACAAATCACACCAAGGTGGGCTTCACCCGATGCAAAGAGCTGCTGGTGTGGTAGCAGATGGGCGCCACATCCCACAAGGAGAGAGGCTGCGATGCTGCCCAGGTCCATCAGGTCCCAATCCAGCCCAACCGTATCTTAACACGTGTTCCGACTACGATTAGCTCAACTATCCACACAGTATTAAAGAGGTTCGGTGTTTGAATAACAAAATGTTATTCAAACAATAACACGTGTATTACAAAACACTTGAGTCTATCATCTTTCCATTCTACAGATAATTTGGTATTAGAAAAACTACAGGATTCAACAACAGGTATATAAAATAAAAGTATTAACTTTCACGAAACAGAATATGGCTTAAAAAAATCTTCTTGGGTCCCTGTTGAACCTTCACTCTTTGCCCTAAGCAGGAGAATCAGTCTCTCACAGGAATTCAGGGAAAATTTAAAAAAAATATTTAACCTAAATACAACCATCTTCTAGAAAGCCATATGTGAAGCGAACTCTGGGCAACAGAAGTCAACCAGTGCATAGAAATAAAACCCCTGCCTCTACATACAAATAAAGCAAATACATAAAAACTGGCAGAAATGATTTGTCTCTATTATCAAAACATCTAAAACCTTAAGTTTTTAAATAAAACATTTGCTGGGTATAAAGAGTACACTGTACAAACCACAGTTGAAGAAATTTACATGCATCCATCATTTAAAGTACCTGACCTAGCTCAATCTACTAAGGGATTTCTCCTGTGGACTCATGAGCCGATCATGTAGAATGCTTCCAAAAAAAAACCATCTCTCAGCAGGAGGAAATATATATTTTTCAATATTTTAATTTTTTAAGCTTTCCAAAAATTTTTTTTTTTTTTTAATTTTAGCAAAGCCATCTTTCAAAAGCATATTCCAATGTCAAGCTTGAAGAAAAAATTCTGCCTCTGTCAAAATAATTTGCAAACTTTATTGGATTTTTAAAAGCCTGATTACAGGACAAAACATGCATTAAGCATTTTGCTAAAATTCCAAAAACATAATTGCAGAATGTCATTATATTCAAAGGATTACGTCCATAATAAATATCCACAGCTTAAAAGCAGCTTGGAGTTTTTTTAAGAGTTTTAGTATCTGAAAAAGGCAAACGTTCCGTATACTGTTCTTAAAATTCTGACATTACATTGCGATGGTTACAGCAAGAAACAGTTCAGTTGAAGACTACAGAAAGTCCCTGTCTTCTCAGGAGGTCTACACTTGGTTATACAATACTGCTCTGGAAAAAGCACTTCAGCAAAGGTCTGGCAACTGGCTTCTGCTTAAAACATACTCTGCCTCATAACATTCTTCAAAGGCTGAAAACATAATTGACTCTGGCAGTACACATGGTCAGCATGATGCGCGGGGGGTTGCCAGTGGACATGGGGCCCTTACATAAAGGGCTGTTTTCTTTGTTTAAAATGGAAAAAAAGAGTGGGAGGTGTGGAGAACAGTGAAATACAAAATGACTCAGAATCATAAAACATATTTTTTTAATCAGATTATTTCAACACGGCATATGCAAATAGAAGGCTTCAAACGAGGATGGTGGCAGAGCTTCTGAATTGCTAAGGCAATTCACATATTCTTACTTCCATTAAAAAAGACAGAAGCTATAGCTGTACATCTCCTTCTACGTATTCGGAGAATATTGCAAGTTGAACTCCAGAGAAGCCATCGACCTCAGTCTGAAAGTGACGGCGAACGAATGGATCGTGCACTGGCTGGACTGTTAGAGAAAGCAAAGGGATCCTTTTCCTTTTCTTTATTATCATGTTTATGTTTATGCTTATGCTTGTGCTTGTGTTTCTTCTTCTTCTTCTTGTGCTCATGGTGATGGTGGTGATGGTGATCGCTATGTTTTGAAGAGTTTGATTCTTTACTAAACACAGAGAGTGGAGCTGCTGAGACAGGGTGCATGCTCATCTCTCCCGAAGATTGCTCTTTACCTAAAAAAAATGAATATAGTGGGATTGATAAATGTTTAACTTGCATTGTTTTTAAACATAAAAAATTCTGAAATATTAACCTACATTATCATTAAACATGCAAACACAGAACCTGCTATGATACTCGTACTGTTAGTTTTTGGGGTTTTTTGTTTGTTTTTGTTTTTTGTTTTTTTTTTTTTCAGAAAAGGCTCTGGAACATGCCATTAATGCTCCCATGCTACTGACAATTTTTACAGAGGTACTCCTTCCTCCCTTGAAGTACAAACATATCCCAGACAATTAGGAGTTGTAAAGAACTAAGAAATGGCAAGTTTTACTAGCTTCCAGAAACTCATTTTTAAAGAGACTAGGAAGGCCACTACATAGGAATAATGAAAATATAACTGCTTATGACAGCTATGACATTAAGCGCAGGCCTGGCATACATTAAAGTGCAGTTTTGAGATGTGAACGCCTTTTAGTCAGGAGCTAAAGCTCCCTGCAAGAATATACAAACCTTTTGATAATGAACAGAAGAATTAAATTGCTTTTTCCAAAAATTACCTCTTACAACCAATTTAGCCTCTTTGAAAGATTGTATAAAGTTTTCTTCTTCAATAAAAACCAAATTCCAATAAAAACAATTACACCATCTTTATTAGTACATATTTCACAAATACACTAGAACTACTTATATATTGAGTAAGTCTGGCATCTGAATCTGAGGAGACAAAATCTGATCCATGATCTCTCAATTCCTGAACCACTTTCTCATTCTCTCCTTGGCTCATTTAATATTTCTTATTTCACACAAACTGCAATACTTTCAACAGTAGGGATTAAAAGGCAGTAATCTAAGACTAACATTGTTAATGTGGGAAAATGCTTGGAAGGGAGGAAGGCTCAAATTCCTTTAGGCAAAAATTGAATCAAATCACTCACATAGCAAGAATGTGCTTTAGCTGCTGGACAAAGCAGAAAAGCACCATCAGATTTTTGAAGGCAACTACTCTTTTAAGCTTTACTTAAAATAGATTTTCTTCACGGCTGCTTTAAATGTTTCCCCCACCCCCCTCCAGTTTTTGATGGAAACAGCCCTGTAAAATAGCAAGGAACTATGTTATATACTTTGTAATTATATCTTTCTATAGATTTGAAAAGGTTGGGTTTTTTTGTTTTGTTTGTTTGTTTTCTTTTTTTTTTTTTCTCCCCAGTACATCTTTTTCTTTCTTTGGTTGGTTTTGCATCTTTAGGGGCAAGAACAATTCGTCTCTGGCAATGATGCCTGGAAGTCTGAAGAGCAAGCTCCCTGTAATATTATGGATAAGCATTGAGAAAGATTTCCATGCAATCTTTCTAGCCTTATCCAAAAGATTAAGAACTCATTCAATCAAGCACATATATAGTAAAGTTTCTAGACAGTACAGCTGTTCTGGTTTTTGTTGTTTGTTTTTACATATGGCTGGAAAAAACCAAAATCTGCATCTGTAAGCAGTGCTTAGAAGTCAGATTAGAAATACAAAACATTTTTATGGCAAGGATAGTCAATGACTTACTATGAGACATGGTGGAATCTATTGCTTAAAGTCTTAAACAGCAGAAGCGATGTCTTTCTAGAAATAAATATGTTTGGGCTCAAATGCAAGATGTGAATATGATGCAATATAAAATGCTGCTGATGTTACGAAGGAGGCCAGACTAGGGTACAACAGTTTTCTATAGACTTAACATCTTGAATATGCAAGTATTTTAAAAAACTTTAATTCTTACTGCATCAGAAGTAGTAAGCAGCAGTAAGCTCATGTTATCAATGCAATGATTTATTGTTAGAACTCACAATGGCTTTATTTACTTGGGTATATTACGGCAGGCTGAAGACACACACACAAATTCAAACCTCCACTTGCTGACTTCGATGCACAGTTACTACAACTTTTTTACACAGTTACCTGGAGCAGTTCTCGACGACGCAGACAGCATGCAAGCACACTGAATTTGATGCAAAAAGGTACATGACTGCTTGACTCTTTAACTACTTCTAATTATATTTCTCTTAAAGAACTCCTACCTGTACCTAAACCTATCCCCGTAACCTGAGCTCATTGCTCTAAAGCAGACAGTTTTTAGACAAGTAAGAAAATTTTCTTTAGCAGCTACAAGCATGCAAAACCAGCCACAAAATAGAAGGGAACGGTGGAAAAAAGTGCATATCTGACTCAAGCCACTAGAAAAGGAATGGTTAGAGACTGTCCCTCAGAAAACCAAAGCACACAGTATTTGACGCGATTAAAACAGGCTGCAGTAACTAAAGGTGATCTGTGGCAGCGACACAAACACAGCCTCCAGTGACACAGAAATAAAGGTTATAGCAGCAAGCCTAAAGACAACTGATGGGTGTTTGTCTATAAAAGTTGTACAAAAGATTATCTAAGGTGCAGAGCACATTCTCACACGTTTTCAAGCTACAGGCAGATGATGCATTAACATATACAAAGTAAACTAAAGCCAACATAGAAGAAAACAAAACCCCCACACATATGACACAAACCCTTAAAACTTCACAGTTCCAATAGTTCCAAATTGTGAAGTTATTTTTATATGGAAACTGAACCTGTAAGTCTAGATGCTACATTTGAAACAACCTCAAACCAAAGCTAAGCCTCTGAGCTTTAAAAATCTTACCCCAGTATAACTGGTATAAGGACATGGGCTTAAGTCTGCAGGGATGATGTAGCAGTAGTGCCAAGTGCCAGTGAAGACCAAGGATGCAACCAAACAGGTTCTCTTGACTCCGTTGCGCAACCTGCCACTTGTGCAAATTTCCCACTGTTTAGAAACTACCAGCTCTGCTAAGGCAACAGTCTGCGTTACCACTTCTTCACTTATTTCAAGTAGGCTATTAAAAAACCCCTATTATTTAAAGCAGTTAAACACCATTGACTGGAGCGAGTCAGGGAGCAACTACAACAGGAGCTAAAGCCAACAGGACTGAAGGGGTGGCGATGAGCATCTGGAAACTGAAAAAGGCAGGAAGATCTTCAGGAAGGGGAGAAATAGGTTCCAATTGCAACTCAAGGGCTACTGATCCTTAAGGGGACAGTCAACATTGGTAGTGTGGCATGAATCTCAATAAAAAAATGAAAGAATGTCATTACAAAAATCTACTTTTACTGAGCCAGTACCAAAAGTACAAACACTTTCTTCACAGAAGTCAACAATAGCTATAATCTGTTGGGTTTTTAAATGGAAAAATAACAACTATCCAGAAAACTTCCTCCTACTGTTAAAGAGTGCTTTGAAATCGGGAATCAAACATACCGATCCTGGATGAGGGCTCAGAAAGGATACACGCTGACTACCGAACTCAGTTGTCTGTAAAATGGACAGACCTGTAAAAGCTCTATAAAAAAACTGGACAGATCTGAACCTGTAAAATTCACTGTTAAACTTGCAGAACATTTTTTCTGCATTTTGATTTCTTTTTAATTTATACCTGCTTAAAGCCCATGAACCTGCAAACGAGGAAAACAAGGCTAAATAAGAATTGCTTTACAGGGCATTAATATCATTCTCATATCCACAGGAGTAGCAGGACTGCTGTGAGGAGGCACAGAGCACTCCCTTTTCCTGTAGGGAACCCATTTCCTCCTGGCAGAGGGAGCAGGACTGGGATCCGGGCTTCTCAAATCACAGGAACACACACAATAAACAGAGGGCGAGCCCACGAACTCGGTTCTGAAGTGGTCAGTAGTATTGCTTGGAATAAAATGCACATAAACCAGTCTATCCACTTGAATCTCTTTCTGTTTGGGATGCGGAGATTCCAATGTAATTATTGGCTTTGCGGTGTTCCAGCTAGCTGGATAGGCGTTTGAAATTAGACAGGATTATTTCCTCATGGAAGAAAGATCAGAAACTTTGTGCACACCTTGTCATAGGGATTAGTACAAACGCTGTAGATACCGTGAGAGAGAATAAAATATGAAAACACAGATCTCAGCTTAGTTTTAGAATGAAAAGGGTTTAGATCTCGATAAGCTTTAAAGTAACATTTTCTGTCTTAGCAAAAATCAGTGTCAGATAATTATAACATCTTGTTCATCAATTATCTAGGGTAAATTATTTTCTTTTTAAGAATCACCGGTGCATGAACATTGAACAACGCTGTTGGGTACAGTGTTTTACCTATTTTACTCCTACTTTGTTATCAAACCTTTACAATTTTAGAACATGTAACTTGAGACTTTAACATGCCAACAAGCTGTCATAAGATCTTCCATATGGTCTCCCCTGTATTTCTGATTTTGTGTGAAGAGGGTGGGACGCCACAGACTTACAGTCTCTGTTTCTTTGCATGTACAATCTATTTAAAACAGTTGGCTTACGTAGGACTTTTCCAAATTGATCCTTGCTAAAAATGACCCCGTTTGCACCCTGATTTATGCAAATGTCAGAGAGGCAGAAACCAACTTCACAAATCACAGCAAAGGGCAAGGCCCATGGGTCCAGTGTTTCAGTTAAAGACTATGTGGGTGCTCCAGAACCTGACACCGACCACCTCTGGGAAGAAGAGGACATCAACACAAGCATGTGAGCACTTAATACTTTTCTCCCAGAACCCAAAGTAAGCTTGCTAATGAGAAAAATAATGCTCTCTCTTAGCCTTGCAGTTGAACTGCAGCTCTGGCTAGAATTTTCTCTAAAGAAAGAACACTAAAAAAGCTGAAAAGATCTTGAAAACTATTTTGACAGTTACCTTGTTTTCCTATTTCTACTTTTCTTTTTAACTATTACCCTGGAAACTTAGTATTACCCTGGAAGCATTCAAGACACACTGGTTTTTAATTTAATGTTGTGTTTATGCATCTGTTGAGCCATCAACAAAGCACATCCAGAAAGTTACCAAGCATAAATAATTCCAAGTTTCCAGTATGCAACTGTCTTGTCATTTGTGTTAAGGAGCAGAAATTTCAAGTTATATATCTCTGAAAAAAAACCACCACACAATCTTCTGTCTG